TGTTGTATATTTCAAAGCTCGGAAAGTTTCTGAAAAACCAAAAGGAGGTCAAACAATGTCACAGACATACATATAGACAGTAGGTGGAGAACACACCATGCTGTTAGCTATGGTTCCTCACTGCGTGCGACTTCTACATTGTAAAGAAAAAGTGCAATTGAGGATTTAACGGCAAACAGAGTTTTGAGAAAGAGAGCTTGTTCACAGAATAGGACAATATGTTTTATTCAACACAGTCAATAAGAAATCCTTTTTAATAACTTTTAATCTGTATTGATGAAAAACTTTCTTATCTGGTTTCTTTTAATTAGAAAAATAATTGTTAAAATTTGAATAGAATTATTTTTATTCCATATAATTGTGGGTTGATTCAGCTTCAAACTAATTACGTTTTCAGAGAAATTTACTATTATTGTTTAACGGTGAGTAATTTTAATAAGAGTGACGGCAAGAAAGTGTTATGTCAATGTAAACGTAACAATAAAACATAAAATGAGATCCCAGCCGTCAGGTACTATCCAGCGTATATAGAGAGAGATATTGAGGAAATGTGAGTGCCGTACATTAATGTTAAACCCTCACTCCATTCCACAGCCTCACATAATTACCAGCTGTGTACTTGACCATCAGTGGAAATGCTTCAAGTTTACATGTTATTGAAAATTCATCTTTAAATGACAGAGGAAACAATTTTAGCAAACGCAAAAAAAAGTGTTAATTTTACTGTCTGCATAAAAATATAGTCTGTCTCCTCAGCTGACAATCAGCTCTCACACAGTGCTATGTTGGCAGCCGGGGCCGGTGCATGGATTTCTGCCGTCCTAGGCAAAGATCCATTTTGCCGCGCCCTCATGTCGCTCACTCACTGACAGAAACACACACTCACTGACAGACACACAGACACTCACTCACTGACACACACACACGTGCATGATTAAGGCTCTGTAGAGCCTAAATGTTACACTTATTTCTTAGTGAGGTGGTGAACCCACGAATAAAACTTACCTTTATTGTCCTGCCTGGGTGCTGCCTGTGTTTTTCTATTTTCAACACTGCATTGGTAGATTCAGCGGCGTCCATCCTTTACACAGAGCGCCTGTGCAGGTTATACTGTTTCTGGCGCCCCCATTTTCGGGTGCCTGGAGGATCAGCCCGGTGCTGAGGGACGGTGGCTCTAGAGCCTCTCACCCAGCGCTGCGGCCCAGGACAGGGGGAGTACAACAGGATATATCCCAGTGTGCGCCCCCAGCTGACTGGTGCCCTACGCGAATGCCTAGTTCGCCTAACAGTTGAGCCGGCCCCCTCCTCAACATAACACTTGTATCAACAACTCAATGACAGTAGAGAGCAATAGAGTTGTAGCTGCTGTGGTTATCACTCTAGTGAGAGTATCTTGTACTTTCTAGAACAATGTTTGAACAAAATGATGGATATCCCGTTAATCAGATACGGACGTACTGGGAAAGAACTCAACATGTCGTCATCATCTGGGAGATGCGATGTGGTTTGGAGGCATTCCGTAGCAATGGCAATTCCAATATGAGGATGGGTGGAGGTTTGTGGCAACAGAGATGACGGTTACATTACTGTGACAACCACAATTTAGTATGATGACAGTGGTGTCAGTGCTGGTGTCTATATCCTGTCCCTTCAGGCCTTTTTCAGTAAAACACTGTTTTTGTCAGATAAAAGGCAGTGTTTACATTACATCCTAGGGACACCTCCAGTAGCAGTCACTCAGATTACCACTAGAGGTGCTTCCTGGGCCACGCTCTGTATGGAGACACTGAACCTTCCTCAGAGAGATGCATTGATTCAATGCATCTCTATGAAGAGATGCTGATTGGTCAGGGCAGCATTTGTCTCCAACCCTGACATAATCAGAATTGACTAGTTTAGCCTATCCAATGCTTTCCTGTGGCTATTTCAGCTTATCCCATGCTTTTGGTCAATTCTGATTATGTCAGCCAAGGAGGTGCATCGAGGGAGGTGCCAGCTGACCTGTGAGGTGCTGGAATAAATGTACGTTTTTTTTACTGTATTTAAGGGGGCAAGGGGGCTGGGAACCTACATAGTGTTAAAAACACTATACGTTAAATAGACAAATACGTTTGTACTCCTGAACCTATAGTGTTCCTTTACTTCTTGTACCATAGTATTATTTTAATTGTGTTTATGTCTTTAGATAGAGATGTCACTATTCAGTGTGACTGTCAGTATTCACACCTTACATGGATCTTAAATGCAAACTGTCTGCTATGTTTTTTTCTGCAGCTCATACTTGTGTGTAGGTCTGTTTTCCTACAATAGTGGTTTTCCTGTAATGATGCCATCACTCTGGCAGCGTGCAGTGGCAGAATCAGTAAGATAATGACTAATTCCAACCAAAGATCACTTAAATTAATAGTATAACATTTTCAGCTACAGGAAAAAATAGCCAACAGCATTTATCATTACATCTACCAGATGTTGTTGGTCAATCTGTTTTAAGGATATAGCTGAGACTACGAATTGTCAAACAAGGCACAACTCTCTTTATGATAAATAGCTCCTAATTTACCTTTTTAAAACAGATGACATTCCAGGACTGCCATGGTACCATGGGAAGGTCCTCATCCTTCATCCTGGTGGCTCTAATATGTCAATATAAGCAAGAATTTAGCTGTAAAAAGGAAAGTCCAAACGTAGTTAGATTCTGAATATAAAATAAATTAGGCAAATACACAAATCTGACTGAATCGCTTTAAAAAAAAATGGTTGATTCTAAACACATTAAAGGACTACTATAGGCACCCAGACCATTTCAGCTTAATGAGGTGGTCTGGGTGCTAGGTCTAGCTAGGGTTAACCCATTTTTTTTATAAACATAGCAATTTCAGAGAAACTGCTATGTTTATATTAGGGTTAATACAGCCTCTAAAGCCTCTAGTGGCTGTCTCATTGACAGCCGCAAGAGGCGTTTGCGTGCTTCTCACTGTGAAAATCACAGTGAGAAGACGCAAGTGTCCATAGGAAAGCATTATGAATACTTTCCTATGAGACTGGCTGAAAGTGCGCACAGCTCCTGCCGCGCATGCGCATTCAGCCGAAGAGGAGAAGAGGAGGTTTTAACCCCTTCCTCTCCCCAGAGCCCGGTGGGAGGGGGTCCCTGAGGGTGGGGGCACACTCTGGGCACTATAGTGCCAGGAAAACGAGTATGTTTTCCTGGCACTATAGTGGTCCTTTAAGATAGGCTTCCAAGTTTATTAAATAGTGATGACAGACGCTTTTTTTTTTTATATAAATTAACAAAAATGTCTCCAAATGCAGTATGTTACACACAAACATGCACAGCAAAGTGATACAGTCAATGAATGAAACAATGGTTAATAGAGTATTGGACAAATGTGAACTCTCAACAACTTGAACTCTTTGAACTCATGTTCCTCAAACCATTCCTGAACAATGTTTGCAGTGTGGCAGAAAGCTTCCCAATCTTTGCCTCACAGCTTTACACTGGGAAAGTCTGAGCAAGATGGGATAGTGACTCTTAAACACTGCTGAAAAATACAGAAAACTTAAAAAGATTAGTATTGCATTTCCTTTGTAAGCTCCCGCTGGCACTCAAACATGAAGCCGTAATGTAAACTCATTATATAGAAGTTATATAGAAGTTGCTTGACAAAGAAGGAATAAGAAAAGTATGAAGGAAACTAACTTCTGCTATTTTGGCCAATCACAGTCAGAAGTCCAGAAGTGTTTCTTTGGCTTTTTCAGGATTTCTAACATATACTTTGTATTTGTCTTGCCACCTACTGTTTCTGAATTGTAAAATCTAATGAAATAAAATGAGTGACTAGGCACACTGCCATTGCTCAGTCAAATACTTGATTTGAATAAATTGTCCTCCATTGAGGGATTGACACAAAGGGAGGATCAGATTGTATGGAGCAGAGAGAGGAGAATTGATTCATTGCCGCACACAGCCTCGGGTGAGCCTTCCCTGGAGTGATGCAAACCTTGAATTTGTGATGCTCCTGGTAAGAAAGGAATCGACGGGAGGAAACAGATCAGAATGCAATGAAAATAAATATAACACTTCTCATATTAAAACGTTTCTTTAAAAAAACAACAGCTCAGAATTTATGATTTATATATGATGGCGGGAGGGAGAAAATAATACAAATAGATAGATAGATAGATAGATAGATAGATAGATTGATTATAAAAGGTTATTGATATATCAAGTTCTAATTTATTTTGCTCAAAATGGAAAAAAGTAGGATCCATGAGTAGAGACCATGAAAGGATTTATCTAAAAGTTAAATAAAGTAGTAAAAGTGGGGCAATCACTATTAAAGGACCACTATAGGCACCCAGACCACTTCAGCTTAATGAAGTGGTCTGGGTGCCTGGTCCAGCTAGGGTTAACCCTTTTCTTTATAAACATAGCAGTTTCAGAGAAACTGCTATGTTTATAAATAGGTTAATCCAGCCTCTAGTGACTGTCTCTTGACAGCCGCTAGAGGCGCTTGCGTGCTGCTCACTGTGAAAATCACAGTGAGACGACGCAAGCGTCCATAGGAAAGCATTATGAATGCTTTCCTATGAGACTGGCTGAATGCGTGCACAGCTCCTGCTGCCCATGCGCATTCAGCCAAAGAGGAGGAGAGGAGGAGGAGAGCTCCCCGTCCGGCGCTGGAGAAAGGTGAGTGTCCGTCCAGCGCTGGAGAAAGGTGAGCCCGGCGGGAGGGGGTCCCTGAGGGTGCCACTATAGTGCCAGGAATACGAGTATGTTTTCCTGGCACTATAGTGGTACTTTAACTACTGAAAGCAGTGGAACCAGCAGGCACATGTATGAAATGCTGCATGGTTACATTGTTTCATTGACTTCTTACCTGCGATCTGCCAGGTGCCATTCTCTGCCTGTCTGCAGTTGAAATCTCTCTGACTGAGCTAGGCCTGGTGGTGCACGGCCTAGCTCCATGGCTGAGAGTGATCAGCTCTCCCGGGAGGAGCCCCCGGCTCTCAACACCCAAAGGATAGAGACAGAGAGCGGCATCCAGCGAACCCTAATAATGGAGCCTAATGAAGCCAACTCATTAGCAAACAGTTTGACTACTTCCATTGGGGGAGCTCCACGGCATAACTGGCACTATAACCACTATAGCACTCTGTATTGGTTATACAGCTTGGAGTGATTCTTTACTGTAATCATCATATCTCCCTACAGTGGTAAGTGGAACCAGGATTGTAATATTATGTTTATGTATCCCATGTATTTGTAAGGTGGAGAAAATAAACTTACACATAGAAATCTTCACGTCTTTATTCTGTAACTGTGCGCCTCCATCTTAGCTCCCTGTCAGTCATTGTTATGAGCCCCGCCCTTTGCACCCAGCAGTCAGCATAGAGAGAGCAGACAGTGAAGGGGAGAAATGAAACAATGTTTCTATTTCTTCTCCTCATTAGCAACGTGTGCCCTGGCTGTGTCTGTAGTGAATTAGCAACCATTTAGCAGCACTGTTATTATTTTTTATGAACTTGTGTTGCCCTATACTGCTTGTGTTATGTATGGATGCTGCGGCGGCTTCGCATAGTTTTTTTTTTGTGGGAATGTGGAATGTTATAATGTGTATGTACGTGAGCACTTTGTGGTATATTTTGGTGTTTGTGGTATCCCTCCAATATTTACTGCCAGGGCACACAGTTATACATTTCCACATATACTGCTAAACACACACAAACACAATGCTAAACACACACAATCACACTGCAAGACACACACAATCACACTGCAAGACACACACTGCAATGCACACTGCAAAATCAACACATTAACAATGCCGTTATTTTAGCCAGCCTCCTTTTTGCTCACCATTTAGCAGCAGGAGGGTGGCTTCCCGGGGTCCAGTGGGGACCGAGCTGGTCATGTGCTGGGCAGGAGGTTTGGTGGACATTTCTCCTCACACATGGTTTCTCTATTATAAGCGCTGGGAGGTAGTGTTTAGAGATCAATTTGTCCCGGCACTGCCACAAGTAAATTGAGGGCTGCTCCTCACCACACATCTGCAGTTGGACCGTAGCAGATATCTGAAGAAGTCCTACTGGGACCTCTGTCAGGCCAGCTGCGGGGTAGATTTTCCAACCTTCTCAGCCTTTTTGGGTCTGGAAGCCTTGTGTGCCATCCAAAGGCACCTGGCAAGCTATGCATGGCCATCGTGCCATTGGTTGCTGATCTCTGTACTAAATCGTTAATATGAATATAAAACAAGACAGGGCATCTCGTGAAAAAAAGATTAACACAAGTTACAGGTGATTTTCTATGATTTATTTAATCCTGTAAATTCCAGAGATGTGACACTTCAGTTCCTCTTCAAAAAAAAATTGTTGTATTCTATTATAGAAAAAGCATATTCGCCAGTCAAACATGGTGAACTGGCAGCCAAAGAATTGCAAAACTTTAGTAAAGATAGCCACATTTCATACTTTTACAATTCACCAAGGCGATGTATGGGCTAAATATTAAAGGCTTGATGACAACCTTTGTATAAGATTGAACTAAATAGCAATCACTGTGGAAAATAATGGAATGTCTCTCAACATTTATCATTTTGAACCCAAAATAGCAACTCATTTACCTTGATAAATCTACCCCGATACAGTGCTTATATAATGGTTATGTTGCTCAGAACGTCCCTTCAATTGTTATAACCTGGTCACTGCTCAATATGCAATATACGGACAATGCTCTCGTTGGTTTAAACACAATCTTCACTTTGAAAAGAAGCAGCACAGCTTCCGATGTTACGAGGGAAAAAGAAGTGAGTCACAATATAGTTCTTGGAAATTCACAGATACTCTGAATCGAGATATGTCTCTCTAACATATGTATTATAGAGATCTCTCTGCACAGAGTATGTGTGTTCATAAATACATAAAGTGAAACATATAAAACCTTTTTACATTAGTATATACCTTGAGCATTATGGATTGAAGATAGATGTTTGCTTTTCAAAGTCATCATTGGTTTTATAAGAATATAATTACTTTTTGCGATCATAGAGCCGATAGTTTTTTCTGTTGGCTATATTTATTCTCCAGGTGGATTAGGATAATCAATATATTGGACTTCTTTCTATATGCCATCAGGACCCTGATTTACCCATGCCGGACCCGAAATTGATGTATATTATTATAGACTGTATGTTTATGTCACATTGTGTTCCATCCAAGATCTTGCTTCTTCAAAACGAATACACTCCATCGTTTAAAAATAAAAACAAACGACTTTCACAAATTTATTGAAATATTAATATTTTGTGAGTTGTATTTTACTAGAAATATTTTATAGTAAAGGCATTCAAAAGGAAACTAAGAGTGTGCAGTTGTTTAATCTGTTTGCATGTCAATATGTTGGGATAGTCCCAAGAGTCCTGTTGATATACCGTATTTATCGGCGTATAACACGCACCGGCGTATAACACGCACCTCATTTTAAGAGGGAAATTTCAGGGAAAAAAAACTTAAAGGACCACTATAGTGCCAGGAAAACATACTCGTTTTCCTGGCACTATAGTGCCCTGAGGGTGCCCCCACCCTCAGGGACCCCCTCCCGCCGGGCTCTGGAGAGAGGGAAAGGTTAAACACTTACCTTTCTCCAGCGCCGGGCGGGGAGCTGTACTCCTCCTCTCCTCCTTGCTTGCGACGTCATCGGCAGGAGCCGCGTGCGCATTCAGCCGGTCGCATAGGAAAGCATTTACAATGCTTTCCTATGGACGCTTGCGTGCTCTCACTGTGATTTTCACAGTGAGAAGCACGCAAGCGTCTCTAGCGGCTGTCAATGAGACAGCCACTAGAGGCTCGGGAAGCTGGATTAACCCTCAGTATAAACATAGCAGTTTCTCTGTTTATAAAAAAAAGGGTTAATCCTAGAGGGACCTGGCACCCAGACCACTTCATAAAGCTGAAGTGGTCTGGGTGCCTAGAGTGGTCCTTTAAATTTCAAATAAAGAACTTATTTTCCCCTTCCCCCTCTTACCCCCTTCTTACCCCCCTCCCCTGTAGCGTGGCCGAGCCGCTCTGCCGTCCGCGGTGGCCGGCCGGAGTGATAGGAAGGTGCACTCCTGTTTCCTGTACCCGGTCGGACTGACAGGAAGGTGCACACTGAGCGTGCACCTTCCTATCACTCCGGCCGGCCACCGCGGACGGCAGAGCGGCTCGGCCACGCTACAGGGGAGGTGGGTACCAACTGCAGCTGCCTGAGCGCTCTTGACAGAGCGCTCAGGCGGCTGCAGTATTTAAAGGGCCGGCGTATAACACGCACCCACAATTTGCCCCCTATTTTCAGGGAGAAAAAAGTGCGTGTTATACGCCGATAAATACGGTATTCTTGAATCCTTGTACCTGCTGGAGTTTGGAACACAGCAGGACCTGTGAACTGCTTTGTTCTAGAATGTTTTAAGCGATTTGTCAGGATAAAGTGCCTGATAATCGTCGAAAGAATTGATTCCAAATTTTGGTTCAATCATAAATTAACTGAATCTCTCGATTTAAGAAAGGAGAGGTTAAACCTCTTTAAAGCAGTTGTTGTTTTCAAAGTGCGTGCATGTATAGGTTTTAGACTTGTGCACAGACAGAAAATCTGGTCCATACAAATCATTTTGGCAGAAAATTAAAAACAAAAAATGCAGTGTTGGCATAATCACAAACCTCTTTAAAGCAGTTGTTGTTTTCAAAGTGCGTGCATGTATAGGTTTTAGACTTGTGCACAGACAGAAAATCTGGTCCATACAAATCATTTTGGCAGAAAATTAAAAACAAAAAAATGCAGTGTTGGCATAATCACAATATGCAAATTAGGATATTGCAAAAACTGACAAGTTGTATCTGTATATCTCCGTTTTCCCATAGTTTGGAAAGTTGTAATTATGTTAAATATTTTAAGCATTATTATGTTGCATGTTCTTCACATTATGTATGTTGTTCATATTTTTATGATTTTCACCACATGCTTAAGGACTAATCGGCAAAGGCTAGTCCTAGTTAAAAAATAAAGTATTCTACATTAGTTCCTTTTGGAACTGTGTGTTCTGGTTGATTTATTCTGGGATCCCAGTAACAGAGTCTTAGTAACCTGTTGACTGGCTATTTGGTCCCTGTCCCTGGGTAAGTTAAAAAGAGAGCTACAAGGGCCTTTGTAAAGGCAGTAGCTAATCACACTGCAGGCAGAGGTGTTGATACCTGCCTGGGAGAGGAGTTGGAGTGGCAAAGGCAGGCAGGATGATATCTGCCTGGGAGAAGAGAACTGCAGCCTGGTCAGGTGGAAGAGTTCCTGAGAGACTCGGTTGGAGGTACTCGGTTGGAGTTCCTTCACATCATCCATAGTTTGTTTCAGAAGTGGTAGCTCTTTTTGTTTGTAATTGGACATATGTTGAATGGGCAAAGTGCATTGCTGAATTTTATTCCGTGTTCAGTTTGTTTTTCGGTGATTTCATCCATATTGCAATTGATTAATCATGTTTTGAAAAAAAAATCACGTTTTTCAGCCCTTTTTCCAATGCAATGGCTTGTTCATTCACTGTAACAGTGATGTCAAAATGCCCAGAATAATTACCTTTGGCAATGGGCAAATTATAATTTGCTTTACTGGTCACATACGTTTTTGGTTTTCACCACACTGTCTGTTTAAGCCCAGAAGCATTATATTTTTATTAAATGTATTGTATGGTTCTAGGTCTTATTAATGATATAAAACTGACCTATTTTTGATCATGTAAAATTAACACCAATGTTCTATCTTCATAAAGAAGATAAAAAAAAAAAAAAATCTGTAGGGATTTGAAATTCCAAATGCTTTTTGTAAATTGTAAAAAAAAATGATCTTGACCTGCAGCATACGATTCTCAGCCACATACAGATTAAAGTAGTAAAATTAGCATATAGTTAAAAAAGAACAAAGCGCAAGACTTCGCTTATAGCACTGTGCTTACTCTGTCTGGTGGTTTCTGTGAAATCATTTATGAGCACGTTAAGTTCAACTGGTCTAATGAACGTCTTTTAAACTGCATGAAGCAGTTAGTGGGTTCATTATTGACAGCCAACTATTTTGTGCTTCTTAATTGGTAAATAACAAAAGCACAAAAGGAAAGAATAAAAATCCAATTGTCTTCACTGACCTGATCACCAATACAATCTCTGGTAATAGTACAAAGTCGTAATTTACTGTATAGAATGATAAGAATAGCAAT